AATCGCGAAGACACAATTTAGAGGCTAAGCCGTAGGGTTGCTGACTACATGGTAAGTATTATGCTTTGTTTGGGCTAAGGAGGAACACGCGCTTTCCCACTGATTCATGGCAAGCATCTCATGAAGTGGTCTTGATCCTAGTAGCATCTAAAGGGAAACTGAACGTGGAAGCTGCGGCTGGTTGAGTTGGCGTTTCACAACTTGATTTTAACCTCGGCCTGCCAAAAGAATTGGTTTTTCAACGCGCCACTGCGTCGAACATCAGCTAACTGACAGAATACTTAACTTTCCTCCCTTCGGTTTTACTTGCTGCTAAACCCTTGTCCAGTTTTCTGCGTCTAGGCGACTACACTCTTTGGGATGGGTATCCCGTACGCAAAGTAGTAGGTTCCTTGTTCTCTTTATTTCCCTTTCAAAGAGATTGGCGTTTTGACAATCTCATGCCCTATTCCATGTTTCATTTGATCATCCAAGCGCTGCTACTGTGCGTCTGGATATCGGCAGTGGCTATGAAGCCATGTCTTCGGTGGTTGTCGCATGTTTCCATGGTTTCTCTCTTTTCTTTTTGATTGTATGAGGTTTCCCAGATGGCGGAGCACCCATCTCGACGTTCCTCTGCTGTATCTGGCACATGGCGCGTAAAATTGGAAATGCAGACCTAGGGGCTGCCCGCCACACTTCTAAGAATGAGCTCCGAATAGGCTTCGTTTCTTTTAAATTGCTAGACTTGCGTAACCAGCAAGTTAGGCTGTAAGGGGGCCATGCTCAGGAGAAAAGAGTATCAGAAGGTGACAAAAGGGGTAGTTGGATGTCCCCTGATCTTAACTCTTATGCTTCCAGCGAGAATATCTTCTTACCGAGACTTGGAATTGTATGAACTGCCTCTGATCAGGCCATGTCAGAACACAATGTAATGGGAGGATGTGTATTGCTGTGGGTTGCTTTGTCTGATGCTGCTGCCAGTTAGTTAGCAACTGCACAACTAGTTATGGCCATTGTGAAAGTGTCTATGTCAGGTCTGCTGAGGAGCACACAAACATCTCACTTCTGTTTGCATCTCAGCTTCTCACCCCTTTCTCTCTAAGAACTTTGCTGTCACCTCCAAAGGTATCCGTCAAACAACAAAGCTCTGAGGTATCAGTCATTACTTCTCAGTCTGCTGAACCGCACTCTTGTTGTCTTCTAACAACCTTTCTCACACAATACAAAAGGGGTAGGTGATGGAATCATCTCCACCTAGGAACAACGACGACAAGGCACAAACTTCTCACACTGAAAACAACAAAGAAGGAGACAAAGGTAATATTACCAATATAGAAACCAAGATACTCTCTCATCCCAACAGCTTTTCATGCAGAGTTGATATCAAATAGCTAACTTTCATTTGTGTATTGAACAGCCGATGAATTGCCCAACAGCTCCCAGAATGATGTCAAAACCCGTCGTCGCATCACATTTGCATTTCTCAGTTGGCCATTTTTTGGCCGCCGTGAGAGACATCATGGAAATGGTAAGCAAGTAGAATTCTAGTTATTGGAAACCAGATGTAATCCTCTGCTGCCTAAGGGTAAACTAACATCTGATTTTTAAGGCATTCCACCGGCGGAACGACGTGTTGCAGAGCAAGACAACCTGCAGCTGCCAAAAGTTGCGAGCTTAACAGGCGCTGTTTTTTCCCAACGTCTAACGGCAACCAGCACTATCACTAGACGTAGACACTCTTACGCACCCCAGGCGTCAAGGGACTACAGTCGTTGCATTCAGAATTTGTCCGTATGTACCGATGATGAACGTGAGATTGAGGTGGAGCCAGAACTAGATGGCAATGACATGGATGAGCCGCAAGTTCACCCCCTGCGCATGAATCCTGTGAACGATGAGGAGCAGCACAGCACACCATTTAGTACCAATGATGCTGCAAGCGTTGTTGAAGCTGTAGATCCTTCCGGAGGGCCAGAAGTTGTTTCTGTAGCCGAGACTTCCTTGGTGACGACCACTAACAACACCGATGATGCTGAAGAAATGGGAAATGGAGAAAACCCTCCTCCCACAACCCCTAGCGAAGAAGATGCAGCTGAAGATGACCCTTACCCTGTCTCTGACACCTCGTCTGTCTATGCTGAAGAGTGGTTCCCGTTCCGTGAGCTCTCGCAGATATCCTGGCGCACGGCTGGACCTACGTCTGCGGAGGAGTCGTTTCCATCAACTCGCAAATCCCCCTATCGCATGGGGAGAACCCGTCGTTATGGCTGGATTGAAGGTCAGCCATTCTAAGATGGAACAGAGATGTTTGTCTTCTTCGCTTGTACTTTCTGATACAGCCACGGAATTGTTTCGGGCTAGGTGAGGACTCGACCGTGCTGGGCCGAATTATTTTCTCTTTTCTTGTGACATTGTGTATCCTTGTTCCTCTTTATACTTATTTTTGACTTTTTTTTTTTTTCTTTTTCTTTCTTTTCCTTTGTCCCTGGGTTCTAAGAATTTCCCTATAAGGAAAAACATTCGAGATGTTTTTTTGTTCACTATCATCTCGTGTGGTTTTAACCCTCCATGACTTGGCCATTTCTATTTCAGTGTTTGAACTTGTTAGCTGCCTTTACTCTGCTTCATTTTTCTTTCTTCCTCAACAGCATCATCACTGAGGTTCAAATGCAAATTTGTTTGATAGCTAGGCAGATATTTCTCTCTGGCCCCGCTCACAGATGAGAGTGTGTGAAGGTTTTTTTTCTTTCCAAGGAATTTTATCAAAGGGTTAAATCACAGAGATATGGTTTTCCTAGTTCAGGGGATCGAGTTGAACTGGTAGTCAACTATGCCCCAGTTATTAGCGAGTTAGTTTCAATTTGTTTCGTTAC